CAGCCAGTGCAGAGTTCCAGTAATAATAGTGCCAGTAGTATTCTGATTAAACGTCCGTCTTGCCTTCCCTCTGAGCCTCGAGAATCGGCCAAAACCCCTCATCAATGCCCGCTGCATAACTGTCACCAGTCTGTGATGATCAATTTGCTCCTACGAACTGTATACGCTCTCCAACAAGGTCCTAACCAAGTCTGCCTTATCAAACATAAGTATTCCACTAAGCTGTCAGAGCCAGCTAGTCTGTCCGCCTGTTGTTCATTTTCCAGCACACCTGCATATCTCAAGAAAAAAATCCAGACAATAGTCCTCACCCTTGTCCTCCGCAGTGAAGCATGCCACTCTGCACTAAGCATGCCTGTCCTGACCTTTCTCAGCATGGTTTCTGAGTCAGTTAGTCATGATATGTGTGTGTGTGTGCGTACTACAGCCGGCGGAAAGCTGAGGTGACCACCCCCACCTCTATTCTTGAGATGGATGTTGTATCATATACTAGGCTCTCCTGCTCCAAACGCCAGCCATTAACTTTCGCTAAGAAACCTCTTTTGCTTCTTGACACTAAACCGTCTGTTTGAATCATTAGATCCTCTGAGCGAGCATTATATTGAATTAATTGCCGAATGTCCACCTCTGTGGCACCTACTGTCCAGTCTCTGCATTCTAGGCTCATTGTCCCTTCTTGAATCGCCGAAAAACAGCTCTGTATAGCAATCATGTTGTTTCTAGTAAACGCGTCAACAATCTATCTCCTACTCTTATATTTGGTTAACAAAATTGACATCTATATGCGCTATATGCGTTTATCCATCTGACTCAGTCCTAGGCCATTATCAATCACTGACAGGATTAGGTGCTGATATAGTGTGAAAAACATTATCTGCTCCATGTCATTTGCAGCTATATTCTTAAGTGCACTGAGTTATTATTTTTATTATTATTATTATTATTTTTTTTTTGCATCTTGGCACAACACTCTCCACATTGTCTGTAAAGAACGGACTCTTGTCAAATGTAATTATTAGATGCTTTAGTTTTCTCTCTCTTTTGACTTTTCTACCATTTATCGTAAGACCCGGGGCATCAACCCTAACGATCCTGTTGTCCAGAAAATACCACAAAACCATAGCTTTTTCCCAGGTGGATGACAGCCCTCATTTGTGTACATCACTCAGTCACTTTGTCTACTCTCGCTTGCAGCTGCTGGGCTGTTTGTTCCCTCTCTTTCCCCTGCCCATATGCAAGTAAATCATCTGCACAATTCAGTATTCTTCCAAAGCAAGGTGTTTCTAGGCTTGCAATTTTGCTCGTATACACGATAAAGACCCAAGGCGAGATGGCAAGAATTGAACATGTGTGTAAGCTTGATCATTTTTAGGTCAGGAGAGGAGTGGGCCAAGGTGTCCGAACAAGTTTCAGACGTGTAGGATTTTAATCACTTGGGTCGTGATTGCAAAGACTGCAGAATCAGAAGTTCAACACATGATTCATGACAATTACAGCTCAATTGATGTACCTGTACATATGGCTCTGTGTTAAGCTGAATACGAAGTGCATAGGGTTTCATAGACCAGACAAATGGACGTCGCCTAGTGCAACAAAGCCTTGCATTTGATATCACAGCGTCTAGTGGTAGAATGGAGACGGAGGCAGTCTCTACTGCCTGTCGCTAGATTGAGAATGACCTGTACACATATGCCGTGATTGTAACTGACTTACAGAGCATGTTTTACCAGGGGAAAATAAGCATGTTTCGTGCAGAGTTGCAAGCATCCTTTCAGAGGTCCCAGGTAGTTAGCATCCTTTGAATATATTCTCCAGATTATGTCGGTGTGTTGGGAAATAAACAGACAGATAGACTGGCTTGTTCTGCGCCACTTGGTGGTGAATTGATGTATAAGTTAGATATTGTGAGGGCTCTTTGGCAACGGGTGAACAGTTCTGATGCGCAGATAGATGAATACTGTCTAAAGAGAATGGTGCTACGAAGAGCTGCCAGGGGATCTGACCGCCGCTCAACACTAAGGGAAAGGATGAGACAGATATATAATCAGACGGTGACTGGTACCATCGAATTACTGCTGGAGAAGGGGACTGAGCACTAATGGGAGTGTCCCGAGTGCTGTTATGACGATTCCTAATTCAAAATTCAAACGAGATGGCATTCCTGGGCATTCCTGGGCCTAAACTGCAAGGTTCTGAGGTCCATGAGCCCAGTCGAACACGAATACAGGACATCTTGAACCCAATTCACCAGCGAGGGACTGACCTTCTTCTCCTTTAATGCGGACATTAAAATGTCAAATCTTACTGTGTTATAAGCATCCTCGAGATCCAGAGCTCCCGCCATAGTTTCCTGCCTGTTCTGAAACCCCTAATAGACGCCAAAAGCAAAAGTGTCTGCATTTGCCTATGTGTTCTTTCCTGGCCTGTAGCTTCACAGCATTACAGGGACCCTTCCTAAGTGTGATTTGTAAAGTGATGATCCTTAAATGGTTTTGAAAGTGAGATTAGATAGCTGTGCATCCAGGCCTGCGGTACCGATGCTCCGGTTAAAGCAGTCGGTCATCTCTGCCAAGTCTACATAGCTCACAAAACCTTCTTGTGGCCATACCAATCCCATCAGGCCCTGGTGCACTGTCTTTTGCTCTTTTCAAAATTTGTTTGATATCTTCTACTCGTATCATGTCTTCAGAATTCATTATGGTGCCAGATAACTCCTCTCTAACTACTTCCCTGATGTCTACATCAAAATGATCTGTCTGAGCTATAAACCTATAGAGAAAAGCCTCCTGTTTCTCCTTGCCTGATGTTATACGCACACCATAGTTTCTACCAATTGTTCCCACTGCCATAGACCGAGCTTTTCTTTGCATCTGCTTTTTCAGTTTCCAGAATTTCCCCAGTGTTTTATCGCCTCCCATAGCATTCACAAGAGTTAGCTACTTTTCACTTTTTGTCTCTGCAGCACAGCGCTTTAAAACCTCTACCTTATCTTTTTTTCACATTCTCCGCCATCCCCACTTCCTCTCTTGAGCTTGGGGGTGTATGCAGCTCTCGTTGCCTTTCACGCCTGTTTTTCTTCTAAAGTCCACCATGGGGTCTGTAGACAATTAGTTCTGGCAGTCCTGTTGCATGCTCTCTGTCTGAGGCGTCCAAGTAGGTTGTTGGTCCGCTTAAACCGGAAGGTCTTGCGTGCTCTGACAGCCTAAACCTTACTGGGTTTAGAAATCAGGACTGAACATGATAGGTTATCACCCCCATGGTCATTCAGAACAGTCCATTTAACATCTAAAACTGACGACTGGGAGACAAATGTCAAGTCAATGGCTGTGACTGCATCACCAGACCTCATTGCCAATCTAGTTGGCATAGGATCATTGATGAAGACCAAATCGGTGTCAACGATGGCCTTTGAAGGGGCAATTCCCTGTCGGTTTTCTCCGCTGCTGTCCCATTCTCTGTTCTTCGCGTTGAAATCCCCACCTAATAACTCCTCCTGTTCCTTGAGCCAACCCTTTTGTTACCTTCTGACAAAACAGTCTACCGTGGAATACATGTATATATATATATATATTTAGGGTTCCAACTGAAACCACCAATCTCCACCTGTATCCCCTGCACCTCTCTTCTACTATGATTTAACTGGCTCAAGTCAAGCACCACATACTTCACACCTTCCCTCACCACCAGACTTTGCCCATGTCCTTCCTGTCCAACAGGGTTTATATAACTAACGTACCCAGGACAATGGCATATGTCTGTATTTAGCTCCTGGAGCATGATGACATCAAAATAAAAAAATCACTGTCTCCAGTACAGGACCTCTCTGCCTACCACTCCGACAGTTTCAGTATTCTACTCTTACATGATTGAAGCCTAATCTCCCCGCTTTTCGTCTTGTTCTCCTAGCACCGACCTTTTTATTGCTATGCCCTTCTCTCCCAATTTCCTCGTCGTCGTCTACTCCTCACTCTCTCTTTACCTAGTGCTGAAAAAGGTGTCAAGCGCAGAGCACGTGCTCCGTAACTACGGCGACGATTTCTATGCATAATGCATAAGCGAAAAAAAGTACTGCGGGAAATGACCAGTCACCTTAGTATTGCCTGCCTGCTAGGAAAGAGGCAGGGGATGTCCCGTTGGAGTCCATACGCCTGGTGCCGCCTGCACGCCCGCCAGACGTCCAACGTTCACAGCCAGCTCATCTGTGGCCATCCAGTTCCTTGGTATGTTGGCTCAACTTGAACTTGGAGGGAGGGGGTTATATTCGAAGTTTGCCGTTTCCTAGATGAACTGCTCTCCAAAGCCAACGGATTCAACCTACCCGGGGAAAGGGATTATAGGGCACCAGCCCGATTGGCAGGCATGTCAACAAGCATATGAGGTATTTTTTAAGGATTTCAAAACCGACCCGTAAATCTCGCCTCTCCCTCTGTGCCCACAGCCAGTTTGTCCACGGCTGCTTTTTGGGTATTCACTTAACCTCTATATCTAGAGGCCGTTCCACGATCTGCTACCGGTGGACGCGCTGAGTTAGGGATGGTCACCCCAGCTTTACACACACAATCTGCAAACTCATGAAAACTATTCTTAGAATGATATCGTTTTCATAACATTGCTAAAGACGAATAATGTTACTGGTTATATAAGTGTAATGTTTACAAGTAAACTGCCCTTCTATATAGTTTTAGTGGCAATAGTGTAGCAATGCAATCATACTGATTGTGCCAACAAATATAGCGTTGGTAATTGCATGGATAACTGTTCAAGTTTTCATATACATATGTTTTTCTTTAGTTAATTCACACATCATTTCTCAGTTAATGGTCAGATTTGTGCTAACCTTACAGCATAATGCATGTATTATCATTGTTTTGCACCAGGTGTCCTGTATTTTTATTTACAGCTTTTAAATTTTTCAGTATCAATTAAAAAAGTGTAAGTTTTTTTTGTGGGTTTACAGTTCTTCTACCATTTCAGGTAAAATCCCTCACCCATACTTATCGATGTACTCTGCCTCGAAACATGCTCTACACGGATTTTTTGGTTCCTTACGGAGTCAGTTCATCGCTCTGAAACAGAATGTTGTCATCACCATGTGCACTTTAGGATATATAGGTATGTAATAGATAATGTATAAACATTATTGCATAAATCAAAGTCAGTTTTACTAATGTACTAGAAGCAAAGCAGACGGGGTATCTTGTAATGGAGGAAAGAGAAGAGAAAACAATAAAGAATAATATGGAATTCTACTCCTTGAAATCTTTTCGACTCCGAACCTGCAATAGTTCTAACAATATGACGTTGCGAATGGGTGCAAAAAACTAACCTTAAGCTGCCTCAGTAACAAGAGAAAAAAAAAGACAAAAAGTTTGTTTAGGTTGGGGTAAGATCAAAAGTATCTCAACCCGACAGAGAATCTTTTGTTTTAAGTCTAGATCGGGTAAGCAACACATACTAAACTAGGCACACTAACTACAAGTCCAAATATGAACAACAACAAAACAACAACTGGAACTATGATTACTACATTAAACCTCGGTTTTTTCACTTAACATAAAATCAGCGTGATCTACATCTAAAGCGATCATCAGCTAACAAGGAACTATGATAATGACACCATATGCCCAGCGAGATTACCTCAACGATGGCAAAAATCGAAACATATTATTAAACATGTACATTAGGCTTCAATGTGCCACCAGACCAACAGATTGCTTATAGCTACTTGCCATCCTAGCGAGAATACACACCTTCATATTACACTGTTTAACAATTAGAGACTACTATTTCAGAACTAAATATAGAAACGCACCACCGCCTTCGAAATCTGCTTGACAACTGGCCTTCCCCTGTAGTCACCCACACCCATGCTGGCGAGCGCCAAGTGCAGAGCTACAACAGCCGGGTAGGTCTCTACAGGGTGCGTCCGGAAGTCAAATAGGAGGCAAATACTAGTCATTTGGCCCTTTTATATCCAGTGGCCAGATTTTTATCCCCATTTTACTGTCTAAAACTAAAAGCTGTTACTGTGGCCTCTTGGTCATTTTTTTTTTTACCAGACTAAATTAAGATCTTCAAGCTGCTGAACAGTAATTTTTGTCCTGTTCCTGCCTATCACACTAATACTGATTGAAGAAGGGGCATTACAGAATACCTGGCATACCCACACACATATGTTCCTTTGTCTGCACCAAATCACTTAAGGCTAACTGTTCCAGTAATACACTGGAGGGGGGAGTAGGAGACAGCGAAAGAAAGAAACATGAATTGAGAAGGCAGAGACGTCCACGTGGTGGATCTAAGAGGCTACAAAGAAAGAGGAGCGGTGAAGGACAAACAAGAAAGGAGGAGGAAGAAACAATAGAGAAAAAGATGAGATAAAGTCAGAGAAAGAAAAAAGACGAAGAAGAAGGAGTTTCAAGAAGGAAACAAAGTGCGAAGATTAACAATCAGATTTACAGATCTAAGAGGAGGAAAGAGGGCGAAGAAAGAGGAGAAAAAGAAAAAAGAGAAAGAAGAGGGAAAATGACTAGGAGAAGAAGAAATGTAACGGTATAATGGAAACATTTTCTCCAAAATGTTGCCTATAGTATTTTGCATGGTGATTAATAGGTATCTCTGCATTTTTGTAGGGTCTTTGCCAAGCTTCAGAACGTTTATCAGATCGCAGTCTAACAACTATTTGTTGATACTAACACTCTGTAATAAACAACTGCTGGTTCATCCAATTCATCTGCAGTGCACTTACTGATGTTGTCATACCTTATACCATCTCGACCTTAGACACTTTTATGCTGTTTGTCTTGGCAAAGCTGTGTCCTCTAAAAGTTTTTTTTTAAGGTCTTGCCTTTTTTTATTCACCAGTCTTCTGTTAGGTGAGATCAACACCCTGCAAGTCAGAAGGCACTATTTATATCGGTTTTTTTTTAGGCGCAAGAATAGCTTTAGTGACTTGTCTGCTTATTCTGTGACACAACGCTTTTCCCTTTACATATTTTACCACTTTAACCATTTTTTTAAAGTCAACTTACTGTTGTGAATATGTCTCTTTCCAGTTGCAGGATATGACTAGGATGGGCCACTCTGAAGCGCTTACTAAAAACGCCATGGTTGGGCAGATTTCATTAACAATAATAATAATAATATTAAAAATAATTAATGTGTAGCTTTTATCGTTAATTATTGTTTAATCTAATTATTGTAAATATGATCAACATCTGTTATATTTCCCGAAAACAGGTACAGAAAGTGCCATAAAGGAACTACAAAACTCTGGATCCGACATGATGTTGAGGATCGTTAATCCAGCATCACCGGAAGACACCGCTCGGGCAATTGTGGCCGCCAGTGCCAGGAGAGACCAAGAGTTGTATTACCCCAGTGTTACAGTTAGAGCTACAGTACTATTACGAAGTTTATTTCCACAGACCATTGATGCCTTTATGAGGTTTATTAGTTCTGCTAACCACAAGTGAGAATTGAATAAATACTACAATATTACTTCCTAGGAAATCTGTCGATAGCATTGAATTAATGAGTTGAAGAATAAATATTTCAGTCGGTAACAAGCAAAAACAGCAGTTCAGTGGCAGATTTTATATCGAAGTTCATCATAGCATTAGTCTATATGAGCTGTCAGAATATTCAAAATGACTGAAATATCAATAGTGTGATGTACGTGAAAGCTGTACTGTTAGAAAAGAAAATTAGCCCATATCTACTGACGTATCTCTTTTGACATTCAAAATCTTTGCAATTTAATTGTGCGAAATTCTTAAAATTACACACAAGAATCCCGTAGGGTTCAACGAATTAACATATTTTTTTTCTCCATCTGGGTCATCTATAGTTTTTGTTTCTGCGAACGGGCTTTCCCGGCTGTGTGACATCTTTTGTCGTCCATCAGACTAGCGTGGATGCAGTCACACGTCTGAGACTGGCCTGTGGGGTCGCAGCCCACTCTTCATTGAGTGCCGGGAACAGATCACAAGGATTGGCTAAAGTACAGTCTCGGCAACAAACACGTCCATGCAGCTTATCACACAGGTACTCACTAGACTGATGCCTGCAGAAGGGGTTGGTCGGGGAAGGCTGATAATGTTGCTGACAGTCTGGAACTGTGTGGTCAGCCATATAGAATGTGATCTAAAATTGTCCTTTTGAAAAATAGGCTTTTAGCATCCCAAAATGGAAGGACATGGAATCAAAGACTTTCACAGACGAATCATAGCACATTCAAATATCCTTCAATGTGCAATCAGTTGACTCTGTCTCTGACGTAACTAATCATTCCACATATTAGGGCATCTCCACTATAGTGCGACTGAGCTTCATCAGCTCAATTTTGGAGCTACGCGTTCATTTTGGCTAGGTACACCCTATGCCGTCTATCATGACGCTGCAACAGATGGAAAGACTCATCACTAAACCAGACATATGTCAATCGATGGTCCACTGCTCAGGGACGATGATGAATGACCAAAGGAAGTTGATTTTGATGATTGCTGCCGTGAGGACAGGTCTTCAGTGAGGTCATCGGCTTAAAGTCCAATCTCATGTAGTCTTATACGAACAGTTTTTTTTTAGGTATATTACGTTTTGGAAGCAATCAGTAGCAGTTGGAGAATCTGTTGTAAACATGATCCTGCGATTGCAAAGCCGAATTATGGCATCATCTGCGGCTATTGTCATAATGGTCGTCCACAACTTTCCTGTCTTCAATTGAGTCAGGAGCTTGGAACTGATAGCACTCTGCTGCACGTTTAGATGCCTGGCAACCTTACTTTGACTCGCAGTCAGCCAATAACAATGCTCCTCAAATTTAAAGCTAGAGATGTCATTCGTATGTGTTGTAAAAAATAGTAATATTTTTGGTGTAGCGTTATTCATTTATAGGGTTTAGTTGCATTTTCTGTTCAAACTAGATTTTATTGCTTTCTCTTGAGCGCATTATATTACGAAATATGGTCATAAAGACAACAGTTATAAAACAAATCAACATGTTTACTGCATTTTACATGCTAAAAACACACAAAACGCGCATGAGCGCGCGCACACACACACAAACACACGAAGTAAACAAGAACAATTGTACAGCATAAAAGAAATATTGAAGACTTCTTTAAAGATAGTAATTGTGCAATATGTCTTCATTTCTTTGTATTCAACAGTATTTAAAAGATAATTTTTTGCAATTTTAAATTGTCTAGCTCATGTTAATAAATTTTTTTTCTCTCATTTATTCTGTGCCCTTTTATGTCACATAGGGCTCGTAGAATATTCGTCCATTCCATTCCGTTCTGTGCAGTTACTTTGATGTCATGAATGGAATCCAGAACAGCACCGTTGTCCTCTCTCATCAACGATCGCTTAAGGGTATCTCTCTTGGATATCTTCGTTTGCTCCATCTTTCTGTTTCCAATTTCAGGGTATATTTGATGATTCCCTTGTCATTTTTTTATCAGGATGAGTCCAGTATAGCGCCACCTTCTCTGTCAGATACTGGCGATTGCCCAGACATTTCTTATTTCTTCTCCAATCTTAAATTCATCGGTATTTTCATTTTCCGTAGTGTTTGAATGCATTTAATTTTATCCTTGTGTCCTGATTCGTTTTTTAAGCTTGCTATGGCATAGGTTAAACTTGAAATAATATTGAATTAAACATACGTAAGTTGATTCTAAATCTATACAATTTAGATTTCCGTATGTAGTCTAATACATATAGCGTTATCAGATCTGTACTGCGCTATATTTATTGTTGTTTACCTATTCTTTATATTTTATTCTATAAGTATTGCTATTATCACTTTAGGTGTAGATCCTTCTTTGATTTCTAGTTAATAAAAAATGCTCCAGGAATGATGAAGCTATTCAGTCTTGTCTCCAATTATTAATCAAGTAAATAGTACAATTTTAAAACTTTACACATAAACTTACAGCAGGGGCCAAATGTGTACACAATTTTTGCGATTTCGTGTCCCTGATTGCCACAAATCAAACATTAAATGTGCTACCATACACATACGAACTTGTCTTTATTTTAATTGTTTCAATTCTTCCTTTACAATAATTAAGGTTATTTACTATGCTACAGAAACTCCCTATGAGGAGTGTAACATTGTCAAGGCAGCCAGGTTCTGAAAGAGATTTTGTTTTCGATAGTGTTGGCGCTGAGAGGCATTTATGATTTAAACTGCACGTTCCCGTAGCGCAACACAGCCTTTGTTAAGCGATATGTGACAACTGTGCACATTCCAGGGATAAGAAGTATGATGTTGCCTGCACCAACAATCGAAAGCGGTTCACGGACAGCACAACCATAGACCTACACCGTGACTTGTTAGGTTATGCAAACCTAATGACATGGGGAGAGCTCAGTTGGGCATCTCTTATTAGTCTACATCAGCAGAGGTCGACAATGTCGCTCTAAAAGAAAATACAAAAGAGTACTAAATGCAGTGAAGTGGTCGCAGCGGTCACTGTCAAATTCACAGCAGATAAAGCAGTGGGTGGCAACAGAGATGAAGATTTTCTCACCAGCTCGAGCTTACAGTGAAAGATTCCCTCCCAGATGGAGAGTGACATTGTCAAAGCAGCAAAGTGTCGACAAATTACTCATTTACAAAGAGGAAGTAAATAAACGCAAAGGACCCTTTTCCACGCCCTTAGGCGTATAGGGCATATATGGCTAGACCTATATATATATATATATATATATGATACTGACCACATCAAACATCTTGTGCCGATTGGTCAATCGGCACAAGATGTTTGATGTGGTCAGTATCACGCCAGCCGCCTTTACTTTCCGGGGCGGCGCGCGTCTAGCGGCTCCGCCACGGCGACTCCCACAAAGAGGTAGTCAAAAGCAGAGGATACTGTCAAACATTTATACATTCAAGATTTATGTTGTTTCGCAGATAGATTGTACTGGTTCCAACAGAAAAACAGCCAGTTTGATCAAGAATGATTTGCAGAGGAACACAAAACGTTGATGAAGCAGGAGCCAACAAAAGTTTAGACGAATTTGACCGAGTGAGAGAAATGTATGCCTCGTGCGATGTGAACAGTATAGAAAAAAAAGTGCTTTTTCGACAGTACCACGAGATTAGTATCGCAGGGAATCACCAGGTATTATTCCCACGACAACAACGATACTCTTTAGCGTGAAGACAGGACATTATTTTCTAATTAGTTGCAACACTGAAATTTGAGTTTCCATGCAACGACTCTCTCAGGCTCCAGACGCATGCAGTCGTCTCAGGCGCACTGACAGATAGACATCGTTTTGAACACGAAACACGGAACGGTGTAAACACTACATCGCTGATCAGATACGAAATGTTTATTAGTTTCAACAACTGTTTCCTCCGCCAATGCATCAGAGGTATAAACATTTAGGGCGACCAGATCGACCACATACAAGACATCAAATAATTCAACATTGTCTTCACAGGATATACAAGCATAACATCTTTAACTATTAAAAGTTAGTTGCCTATCCTTTACATGTGGTTGCAGACCCAACCCCATCATTGTTTTGGCTGTTGTGGTTTTCTGTGCACATTTACTCTTAGTAGTTTGCCATCACAACTGTACGGTTAGCTCTCAGCACCAGTGTCGTAACCAACGCAAGACAAATCGTCCGCAGCTGGAATGGAACCCGGCACCCCGGTGTCAGTGTCCTGTGCGGCTATAAGATGTCCACGTAAGATAATGAAAATTAATTCTTGGGTTAACACTTAGCTGTCGCGACTTTATCCAGTGCTCAGTGACACGCGAACACAACCAGTTAAAAAAAAAACATGATTGCCACGAGACAATCGTGTCACGCGTCTTGATTAAGGTCTCACCTAATAATAATTAAAGTGATTTATTGTTGAGATGGCGGCTTCTATTGGTCTAGGTGCTCTCCACAGCTCCAACAACCATCCAGCACCACTTCAGGGATGAGGCATCTTAAGTAATTGGCTCCAAAGAATTTCTAAAGATATTCTTGAGCATGTGAGATTGAGCGCTTGAGACACTGATATCCATTCCGCACCTGGATGGATGTCTGTAAGGATGCGCACCTTCATGATGTCATCTTCTGCCCTACCCAGTCTGAGTATGGCTGAAAGTGAGGATGGCTAGAGCATATTTGATGGGAGAAGGATCAAGTCCCTGTAACAGAAGCAGAATCAGTCTTTGCTCAGTGTAAGCGCTGCCCATGGCCCTTATTGCTGACAGGCCTTTGCGTGCTTTTGTTGTAATATGGTCATGTTCATGGATAGGCTGCGATCAAACCTTCCTGCGAGGTGCGTCATTAGATTTGTTCTCGTCAAAATTTCCTCTATGCTTTCCATTGCTGGTAAGTCTGCCTTCACTATATGCGTGTTCAAGAAGAAACCCGTTACCGAGGCCTTCGAAGGGTTGACAGGAGCATTATAACCTGTACACAATGAGGAGATGCGATCAAGTATACTCTGCATTCA